AGCCTTTTCCTCTAGGCCTGACTGAAAACCACCGCCCAGATCCTGACACCTGCCCTTCCCCTCAAAGACTGTGGGGCTTCACCTGCAGGACGCGGCCGGAGCGGGGCTCGATCACGCGAAGCTTCTTGTCCTTGCACGTGGTGGTGAGCAGGCTGCCGTCCGTGTTGAAGGACATGCAGAGGATCACATCCGAGTGGCAGTCTATCATCTTCACCGGCTCACCCACGTCCAGGTTCCAGATGAGGACCTGCGAGGGGAGGGTAGGCATGCCGGAGGCAGGTCAGCCCTGAGGCTGTGCCATGAGGCGTCTGTCCCCGGTCTGCACCCGATGGCCCTGGGAGAGACGCCCCACGTGGGGGAGGGCGTGAAACTGTATCAAAGGCTGATGCTCCCTGTCGCACAAATCCACTACCGTCCCTCGGCAGAGCCCAGCCGCAGGGTTCTTGTACTAGCAAGAAGGATCAATGTTCCTGGCCGGGGCCCATGGCTGGCATACCCCTTTTGAGGGCATGCCATTCTCTTCCCTCCAGCAACTTTGGTTGTTCCTTTTTCCTACCAGGAGGGCAACAGTCACTTCTGGATTTAAGAAGTGGCTCCGGAGAGGGTGTGGGCATGGAGTTGGGCATTCTCTTCTAGTCCGTCAGGGCCAGAGAGGCCAGAGAGGCGGCCTCTGTGGACCCCGGAATGACAGGGCACACCGAAGTTGCCCAGTCCTGTGGAATGAATGAATGAATGAATGAATGAACAGACAGACGGGACGATGTTGGTGACCATGCTCAGGAGAGTAACAGTGCTCCTACCGGTGGCTTCTAAAGAGTCCTCCCTACCTCCCCCCTCCCCCCGCCCCAGCACTGAGCGGGCTTGGGACACAGCTGCTATCAGGCTGCTCACCTTGTAGTCATAGCCAGCACTGAACAGGATGTTGTTGGTAGTGGGGTGCCACTCGACCAGCCCCACGCGCCGGCTGTGCCCGTGCAGCTCCAGGAGAGCCTCTGTCATGTTCCGCTTCAACCCCCCCTCGGGGATCTCCCAGATCCGCACCTGCAGACGGGGGTGGAGGGCCGAGGCTGGGTGGGCGGGGCCAGGGGAAGCCCCTGCTGGCCCTCTCCCTCAGACCGCAGGCTTCCCCAGATCTGAGCCGCGGGACACCCCCTGGCCCGTCCGGTGGGCAGGGCCTGACTGAGGCCCCGGGGAGGCTCCAGGGTGCACATCACACAGTAAGCAGCTCTCGGCGAGTGTTGTATTAAAAGTCTCCCTCTGCTGGGCGCCTGGGTGGCTCAGTTGGTTAAGCATCTGCCTTCAGCTCAGGTCATGATCTCCGGGTCCTGGGATGGAGCCCTGAGTTGGGGAGTCTGCCCCTTCCTCTGACTCTCCCCTCCACTCGTGCTCTCTCTCTCTCTCAAATGAATAAAATCTTAAAAAAAGAAAGAAAGAAAGAAAGCAGCAGAAAGAGATGATGGGCCAAGAGGAGGATGGGACATACAGAGGAGCAGAGAGTGGAGACCACGTGGCCCCAGAGAGAGGAAGTGCGCAGTTTGTCCTTCATCTTTGAGTACCCTCCGGATTACTGACAACAGCCCCGGGTGGGCTTCCATTTCCCGGGCCAAACATTCTCTGCCTAGTTGCAGCTGTTTCATCTACAAATGGGAGAAAAAAACTCTTTGCCTTGCCTTGCCTCCTGGTAGAATAGAATGAGATGCTGGTTGCCCAAGCTTGTAAACTGTAAAGTGCTCAAAAGACATAAGGAATTGTCATCCTTGTTATAATCGTTGTCAACGTGAATGCTATTGATTATGCTCTGACTAGAAAGAGCACACGTCTCTACGACTTAGGGCACCTTTAAAGCAAATCTTTTGAAAATCTGAACTCCACCCTTGCCAGTAAGGAGAAAAACTGGAAAAACAGCTTTGAGATACCATTTATAATCTTCTAAAGTAGCCAACTGGGAGGTGGGGGGAGAGCCGAAGTTGGCAAGATTATATACTGGAACTGGTAGATGCAATCGGTGTTGGTAGTATTATAAATCTGAGTAACTCTTTTGGAAGCAATCTGGCAATCTTTTGCAGGAACCATAAAGACATTTATGTCATATTGCTTGACCTGGTAATTTCACTCTGAAAATCCAATATAAGCAAAAATCTCCATGCATGAAGGTGTTCACTGCAACGCGGAAAATTTAGAAACACTCCAAATGACCGACATTAGGGGAACAATTTAGTATGTCATGTTATTATGCGATATTAGCTAGTGGATGATAATTCTGAAGCCTATGAATAAACACGGAACTCCAAAGGCAGTCCTCAGGACAGGGGGGAGGGCTGGCAACTGGGGGTGCCCCCAAGGCCCTTCCTGTGGCGGTTTCCCTTCTTGTTGTGTCCCCCGAAGACCCAGCTCTGCACATGTAGACACGGGAGGCCTCAGGGTGAGAAAGGCAAGTTCAAGCAAAGGTTTGGGGTCACCCTTCGGTTTACCCTTCTCAGTTTAACAAACATGCTCGAGAAAAAGTTTCTAATTAGGTGACCCTTCCCCCAACAGCCTAATTCCTGAGCATCCAGCTAACGAAGGCACATCCCTGGGTAATGTCCCATGCCAGGCGAAGGTAGAGGCATGAGGGGAGCTGTGAAGTGAGGGTCCACCCAAGCTCTAATCCCACCCACTAGCTGGATGACCTGGGAAAGCCAGGGGACCTCTCCGAGGCTCAGGCTCCTTGTCCAGTTGATGAACAGAGACATGTGCACCATTAAGAGGTGTGTGGGTTAAACTAAACTGGGCTTCATGTCTTTGTGAGTCTGAGGCTTTCTAGCCAGATGAGCTGACTTGTTAGGAAGACAGCTTTGCCTAGGAATCCAGGGGCTAAGCCAAGGGGATGGGGAGGGCGGGTTGTGTCTGTGCCCAGGTTCAGCCTCTGGATTGGATCCAAGTCCCAGGGAGCCGAGGCCTGCAGGGGGAGGCCCAAAGAGCAGTTTTCACCAAGAACTGTTAGATGTAGGGTCCCAGGCGGGGCCGGAGGGACCCAGTGAAAAATGTCCTGCAGAGAGGGAGAGAGGTACCTTCCGATAAACTCACTTGATCCCAGCCACTTCCCTCCCAGTGTTCTCATCTGCACATTGAGGCAATACTAGTTAATCTCCCCAAGTCCTCTGCTTTTGACATCAGTTGAGTGTATCCCTGGGGAGTGGGGAGAGACTGGCTTTGCTTGATCTACTGTTACGGCAAATAGTTGGCCCCAAGCGCCATAGGAGCTGGAGGTCATAGTGGGCCTAAGTAGCTGGAAAAAGGAATTCCAATCCCTTGGTATTCAAGGGATTTGTTTGAAGCGAAGAAAGGATGGGTGTGGGTGGAGCACTGTGGATCTGCTCAGAGGTTGCTGCAACAGGAAACCTGATAGGGCCGGAGGAACCGGATTTCTGGAAGGAAGGGGTGGAGAGCTGGGGCAAAATGCTCTCTCTAGCAAGCCAGCTGTGCCCCTTTTTAGGTCCCTGGGTCAGAGCCCTGTTTAAGTCAGTTACAGTCAATCCAGCAAAATATGCTCAGTGTCTGCCTGGGTCCCACATACTAGACTCGGGGCAGTTCACAGTTTTGTGGGGGAGACAGCAGAGGATGTTTAATAAAACTACAAAACCAAATGTCCCTGTGCTTGGGGAGGGAGCAGTAGGCCAACAACATGAGAGCTTTGCAGTCTGACAAGCTCTGTTCAAATCCAGGCCCTGACCTTACATGGCTGACCAAAGCCTTCCTTCTCCCCTGGATTGAATCTGACACCTTGGAGAGGCCATGCTTTGTCCTGCTTATCTATCCCCCAAAAAAGAGCAGCTCCGCAATGCCAGGTATCTAGACATCACCCTTCTAGGGGCACTGACAACCTGCCAGGCCATCCCGCTGGATGGCTGACTCCTCCGTACAGGGTGGGATCTTCTAAGTCCCACCTTTGCCTTCAGTGCAAGGGACAGTGCCTGGCACATCCCTTTGGAATGCATGAGCCAATGGAAGAATCCTAGCAGCCCAGAAACCTCGCTATCACATCAGCAGCAATGAGTCAGCCCCCGACTAGGAGGAAGCCAGCCAGCCTTGACTCTGGCCGGTGGTGAGCTGGGTAGATGGGGATTCACCCCTGTACTCCTGGTTTGGAAAGGGTGGGGAATTTCTCTCTTGGATCTTGAGGTTCACCATTCAGCTTAGTCTTTTTTTGGAAACCAGTGACAGAAGGCCTACCTGGGGGCTCAAAGAGCAAAGAATGAGATGCAGAGGAAAGAGCCCCGGGTCTCCAACTCCGGCTCTCTGACTCTCCAGGGGCCCTAGAGTTCTTAGTAGACAAGAAACACCAAACATTGTATATTCGTTTGGCTCTGATGCTGAGTCCAATACGATCTCCATTTGACAGGAGGGCGACTTGTGCCCAGAGAGCTAAAGAAACTGGTTCAAGGTCACAGGCCTGGGAAGTGGCAGAACCTATAGGCCCGCGGACTCCTGAGCCCAGCTACAGAGCCACACTGCCACTCGCTCTGCAGTCCCAGGTCTGTGGCCGAGGCCTCCGTCCGCCCGGCGACCCCTCTCGGGCTACTGTCCTTCCATCGCTGGAAGGGGCACGGTGCTCCCTTCCAGCTCGGAGAGATATCGGTTCTCTAGCGTGTGCGTGTGCTTGTGCGTGTGTGTGTGTGTGTGTGTGTGTGTGTGTGTAGATGAGAAGGGCAGGGTGGTGGGTGGCTTCTGGCTGCTCCCTGCTGCGCTGACATCCTGCCCCATCCCACTCCCAGCTCCTCAGGGAGGGGCATCCTTACTGGGAGGTGGGGGTGGGGTGGGAGGGCAGCCTTTGGATAAAGGAGCAGAGGAAAAGCTGCTGAGCTCAGCCTACCAGGGAGAGGGGCCTGCCTCCCCCTCCCTTCTGGGACCACTCTTTCCCCTCTCCTTGAGATGTCAGAAACCTCTCCCTTTCTCTGCAGCTGCTGGCCCTCTGGGAAGGCTAGGAGCATGAGGCTGGAAGCCCGTAGAGCCCTTCCCTGCCGCCTGCCAACCACCCTCCCTAGCTGCAGCCGAAGCTATAAAAAGCACAGCCATTCAACAATAGGTGACATCACCCAGCGGCGGAAAGAACTGGATTCTGCCAGATGCCAGGGAGAGTTATGGCCCCTACCTCTCCCGCAGGACAGGAGCCCACTGGGAAAGGGCCTGGGTATGTGCCACTGGAACCCTGGAGGGACGGGGTCAGACTCCTAAGGCCCTCCTCGGCTCTGGGGGAGGGGCTGGGCATGGGGCCTGGATTTCCCTGGAGGTTTTTCCGGGGTGGGGGATATGGGAAAAGAGCGGGGGAGCAGGGAGGGCTTGCTGGCTCGCTTCAGTGTCCAAGCAGAGGCGGGCAGAGACATGGGGACCTGGGCCAGACCCGCTTCCACAGCTACACTCCAGCTCCCCAGCCCCCAAGAGGAGCACGGTGCCTGGCACTTGGGTCTGCGGACAGGCCTCCTCACCTGAGCTGGGGAGCTGCAGGCTCCTTCCCCTTCCGTGCCACTCCTCCCAGGCCCTGCTTCGGAGGATGCCTCCCCCCGTGTGCCCTCGGTGGGTGTCTGGGCCGGACCCTGCTCAGAGAAGCCTCAGAGATGTCAATACCGAGTGTCGGATGGATCCGAACTGCCAGGCCTGTGTGGCTCTGTGCCTCAGTTCCCTCACCTGGAAACCCAGGACCTTCGGTGAGGTGCTGAGCGGGGCCGGCCCTCCCTGTGCCCCGCCTCCTGGTGGGACCTTGGGCCTCAGGGACCTTCTCCGGGAGGGGCTGCTCCAGCCTGGGGGTCCTGTTAGCTCCCTGGCCCTGAGGCCCCCGGGGGGTATGGAGACCTGACAGGGGCTGAGTGGGGGCGGAAGGAGAGCTTAGTTCTTCTCTGACCGAAGACTTAATCTTCTTCTCTCTGGCTTGGGGTGGGGGGGCCCGGGCCAGCCCTCCCAGCTGTGCCCCCAGGCCTGCTGTCCTTTCCCTTTGTCTCCCATCCCTGGCAGCCTCGCTCCTCCCTGGGTGTTCCCCTCCTCTTGGCAGAGCCACATCCCAGGGCTGGTTTGACTCGGGGTGTGGGCGGCGGGGCCCTCCCCAACAGAGCCAGCCGTGACCCCCTGCTCTGGCCTGCTACTCCCCTTCCCTGATCCCTGGGGTGCACAGTGTCCCCTACATATGTTGAGATCCTGCCCCCTAAGCTGATAGTATTGGGAAGTGGGGCCTCTGGGAGGTGAGGCCTCTGGGAGGTGACTAGGTCACGAGGGTGGAACCCTCAGGAACGGGATTAGTGCCCTTCTCAGAGAGCCTCCCAAGAGACCCCAGCCCCGGCTGCCACGTGGGCATAGGACAAAAAGAAGGCCCTCCCCAGCCATGCTGGCACCTGAACTTGGACTTCCGCCTCCAGAACTGGGAGCAATGAACGCCTGCTCTTCACAAGCCGCCCAGCCCGGTATTTTGTTACAGAGGCTTGGGGACTGAGATCCTCCCCCCGGGCCTCCTTCCACCCCTTCTCTGCTAGCAGTCCTGCTTCTCCAGGGCCCCGCTTTCTCGAATCTCTCCCCACCCCTACCCCTACCCTTCTGGCAACATGAATCCCACCTCCCTGAGCGCAGGGCCCTCTGTCCCACCTCCTTGGCGCAGTGACTTCATTCTGCATGGCACTTCGGTGCATGGCCTGTCCCTACCCTTCTACCGGTGGTGTTTCTGGGGCAGGACAGAGACCAGCGGGCGCAGTGTTAGGCACAGACCCCTTTTCCTCCTCACAGCAACTGCCCAAGGCCTGTCTCATCACTGCTGTTACACGGAGGAGCAAAACTGAGGCCCAGAGAGGGCAAGTCATCTGCCCTTGGTCACCCAGCTAGCAAGCGGGCAGGCGGAGATTCAATCCCGGTTGGTGTGCGGGGGTCCGTGTGTGCGAACTGAAGAGAGCCGCTCGCCTAGCGGGGTGGGCGCCGGGCCTAAGGCTTTTCCTGCAGCCACAGCGTGGACGCCCGGTTTATTAGCCGGGCTCCTGGAGCAACAGGTACCTGACTCACCCCTGGCGGAAGTAAGGTGCTGAGCTAGAACCGGGCAGGGCCGCCCCGGTCAGTGACCCTCCCGCCCTTGCCCTCAGTCTGGCAGAGATTTGGACCAGAGGTGGAGCCAGGGCGGCCAGCGACTCTGAGAGCCCTGGCTTATCCGTCCGTCCCCTCACCAAGCTGCTCACTGCTCCTCTCCTTCCCAGCCCGCTGCCCTGGGGAGAGGGCCAGAGGCTTCCAGCCCGGAGCGTGTGGGTTGGTGTCCTGACGAGCCGTGGCCGAGCAGGGGGAGCGGGGCCTGGGCGGCCGGCAGCCCTCCTATACTTCCTAGCGTGGGGCCTTGCCCGGCCCTCAGTGTGGGGGTGGCCGTGGCGGTGAGGACCAACGGCACTCGGTATGAAGCAGCCCCGAGTTGGAGAGTGTCTGCTCCCTCATGGCTGGTGACAGGCACCCAACACCTCAGCAGGCAGAGACAGAGCTGGCTGTGGTCGCTGGCACGCCTCCTTGAGTTCCCTGTACCCTGAAGAGCAGGATGGGCATTTCCTCCACCTGCTGTCTCTCCCGCTGCCCCCCTGTGCTCGCCGCACCGACCCCTGCGCCCTGCAACCTTCCAGCTCCAGCCGCATCCTGCCCAGCCCAGGACAGGGAGGACGGTCTTCTCTTGAGACCACACACATACTGAATCACATACCTAAACTTCGTGTTTTAATTCTCACCTACAAAATCAACACTTCCAAACGACATCACACTAAAGGCGCGAGATCTGCCAAATATTCCATGGATTCGCTCTCTCAGTCCTTTTCCTAACTCCCTCCCCATCCTGGGGCTAGCTGGAAGGATGAAACAGGAGACAGAAGAAGGGCAAAGAAGGGAGAAAGAGAGGAGTTTAGGAAGGGAGGCCTCCAGGGGGAGAGCAGGGAGGAGCCCCCTGGGGTCCGCCCTCGTTGGGGAGCACCCCTCCTGCTCACCGATGTGTCCTCTGAGCACGAGGCAATGATGTTGTCAATGAATGGGTTCCACTTGATGTCCAGCACGTTGCCCTGGTGACCACAGACCTTGGGGTAGTTGGGTTCAATCCTGCCAGTCTGCCAAGGAGAAAGAGAGAGAAGAGGTTTAGTTTGATGGTCCTAGGGTGACCCTGAAAGGAGAGCCTTTATTCTGGGCTTCTAAACTGGACTGGAAGGTCCCAGAGGACCTACCATTGTCTTATTCACCTTTGTATCCCTGCCTCAGGCTGGTCCAAATTGTTCCGTGGCTGAGTCCTCCCCGACACCAAATGGTCATGGGGCAGGGGACACAAAGCAGAGCGATAAGGCAGGACCACTGTTGGTCCATATGATGCCTTTGTGCAAATTAGGAAAAGGTACCCCTTCCTCAAGTAAAAAAGCTTGAAGTTAGGATGCTCCTATTCGCCTGAACAACCAAAGCCTAGTGAGCAGCTCACACCTCCAGACACAGGAACGTATGTACTCTCCCCAGTGCCCACCCCCCCACCCCACCCGCCGCCCTCCAGGGGAGGAGGCTCCTTCCTGCTGCTCCAGGAGTCAGCAAAGAGGCTGAGTCTCTGGGTATGAACACTGTCATACGTGTCACTCTGCCTACGCTGTGAACAGTGCGGCTCCCAGATGTGGATGCTTGTTCAGTGAGCATCTTAAACACCTGTACACAGTGCCTTGTGGTTCAAAGCATAGTTTATGGAGGCACACAGGCCTGTGTTTGAATTACAGCTCTGCTACCTTTTAGCGACATGGCCGTGGGAAAGTCAGTGAAGTTCTATGAGCTTCAGTTTCCTCATTTCTGAAATGAGGAGAATAACATCTGCCTCTTAGCCTTTGGTGAAGATTGAATGAGCTAACGCTTAGCAAAGTGCTTTGTGTGGAGATTATCATTACAGTGAATGCTCAATATATGTTAGTAGTATTATTATCATACAGATTAGACAATAACACCTCCTCCAGGAAGTCTTCCCTGATCCTTCAATGGGTGAAGAGCTCCTCCTCTGGGTGCTCATAACATTCTAGGCTTCCTTCTATTACAGGCACCATCATGTGCAATTGCAGCCTGTTTCTATTTGTCTGCAAGCAACTGAGGACAGAATCTGTCTCTTGTCTCTGATTATCCAGCTCCTTACAAGCCTGGCACATGATCTGTGCTAGGTACATGACCTGAAAGATGTCCTTCAAAGGGAATGAATTCCACAAAAGATGAAACAAAGAATGTGGGGGAAGGGGAAGGGAAGGGAAGTCCATGTTTAATGAAGGGAAGGAAAATTACAGGCAGAAGCTGTTTCCATCCCCAGGACTTTTTAATACTAGGTTTTTGGGGGCATCAGAGGAAATAGGGAAGATTTTCCCAGTCACTTCCCATCGGCTGATAGTGGGTAGGTCATCGGAGGCACCTCAGGCAGGCCGTCCCTCACCACCCTTTAGGTCCCTCAACGGACTAATGAAGAAGAGAATCAATTTTTGCAAAGCCTCTGCTTCATGCGCCTTATGCTTCACCAGCATGATGGGGCAAAAGTGATTTCAGAGTGTGTCCTGCTGTAACCTCTCCCCACCCACTTTCTGCCCGCACGTCCAGCAGCTCATTTCCAGACCCTTTGACTTTTTGTGACACAGCAGTGGCCGAGATGGGTAGAGAAGAAATAGATCCAAGATTAAATGTCAATGGTACAGAGGGTGAGAAATGAGGCAGCGAAAGGGAGAGGGGGGAAAAAAGTATCAGAGGTGTACAAAGGGGAGCTTCACGGACACCGTGCATTGTGGGAAAATTACAGAATGGAGGCAAAGGAGATCTGGGGGGCACCACCAGCAGTTAGGAATGGGGTTCCCTTTGCCATTCTATGGGGGATGCAGTTAGAATGGGGATACCTTTTCAATTACTTTTGGGCTGTTTGACTGTTTCTTTAAATGAGACTCTAAGCAGAGACTGAGCCACATGTGACCATGGCATCTGTCAGGGTTACACATGATCTTTTACTCTCACACATCCTGTGATTTAGGTCTGAGGAACTTAAGACCCAGAAAGCTTAAGCCACTTGCCCGAGTTTACCCAGCTGAAAGCAAATCAGGGGTTCCTGCCTAGGGGTGACCCTCAAGGCTGAGCTTTTTGAATCCCACTGCTCATTTGGGCCACCGCTTCTCCTCCAGCCCTGACTTCCAAGGGCAGATAGGCCCTGCCTTGTCTGCTCCCACAGCTCACACACTCTCTGACGGCACCATTCCTTACATTTGATCCCACAGGCTGCATCTGAGTGATCCCTGAGCAAAGCTGTCTGCATTATGCTTTTGGCACCCAGCCCAGCCCAGGCATATCCAAAGGGGCACTGAATCAGTCAATAGGTGGCCATCAGCTAAGAGCAGCTTCTGGCCCGAAGCCTAGAGGGACAGGTTAAGCAACATCGCTGGAACCTATTCAGAATGGAGTGAGGTCAGAGCCCTGCATTGGGAAGGGAATAAGTCTTTTTAAAGCCGAGAATGATCCTGATGTAATGTATACTCCCAGGCGGACCTTGCCTTACACAATGGATGCATTCCCCAGTAGGGTGGGGAATTACGATTGTCATGACTAAATCACACTGTTGCTTCTGTGAACGATGACCTCTGTAGTTGTGCAGTGCACAACCTACTTAGCTGTACATGGCAGCCCTCAAGGGAAGAACTCCCTTTCGACCTGGCAACTCTGCTTTTCCTATTTTATACTGTAAGGTTTCATATAACATTTTGTTTGAAAGACAAGTTCCACTACTAAGAAAAAACATCTGAAAACCACTGTTCTATGGAGAAATCAAGTATATAAAAAAATGTAATTATTAACTCCAGGAAAAAGGTTGTGTAAGAAAGCTAATGTAAATCACAGTGATAATGATATATGTACAATATTTACATAGCTGTAATAATGTAAATCTTGAATATTTATTGAAACAAGAGTTATACTATAACATACTGGGAGGTAGGGAAAGTGTGTGTGTGTGTGTAGTAAGAGGGGAGACTGAGCTGGAAGAGAGCCAGATCCTCATCTTCCATAATAGGAAGTCAACATACAATGTCTAAGATTTTAAAAATCTAGACATGGCGATGAAAGCATGTAATTAAGAAATATGGGGATAAGTGCAATAGGAAACAGCTAAAATCCATGAACAGAACTCCCTTTGGGGATTGTAGGCAAGTGGGGGAGGGACTGAAGTTACAGGCAGTGGTGGGCTGGTAACTGTTTAACTGGGTTTCCAGGAAAAAAAGGCCCCATTTGGAGCATTTGCCAATTCCAGTGGTGTAAATGTTCCCACCACGCTAACTTTGATCTACCAGGTTGCTGTCAGCAACAGTAGAGTCAGGAGAGACTCCCAACAGTCCACAGTCATGTGAGATTTCTACCATGGATATCATAGACGCCAGTCACCCGGAGAGCACAGAGAGTAGTCAAGTAACTAGGGAGTGACGAATTGTTAACATTTAGTACCTTTGTTTTTGATGTAACTTATTTAATTGCAAGTTTGCATAACTAATTTTTAATAATTAATACTGTGTACCAATAATTAATAATGTGTACCGGTCGGCTTGCAGAAGTCCTAAGAATGTAGCGGCAGGCTCTCCTGAGCCGGTATGAGCAGACTGCAGCACATCACTTAGGCTGTAGGCCTTGTAGCATCACTAGGCAGTGTGAGCTCTGGACCATTACTGCTTTGAGAGGCATAAAAATTAAAGAACAAAGAAATAAAATGCAGGTGCCAGATGTTCTAAAGGAAGCTTGTTCTGTATTTAAAAAAAAATATGAACAATCCTTTCCCCAGACCCCCAAATGCCTCTGTTTTCTATTCCATTTTCTGTATGGGGGTGTGACTTGAGACCAAATCCGGATCTGGTCCGTAACTTCTATGCAACACCGCCTTCTCTCACTCACTCTCCTCCTAATTCGCACAGCGACACTAACAGCCATCATTAATGTAATCAGACTTCATCCTCATAACAGCTTCATCTTACAGCCGAGGGAGCAGAGGTGTAGAACGTGTCCAGGGAGCAGAGTCAAGGTTTGTCAGTGTTTCATAAGGTTAGGATCACTGCGGAGACGGTCAGTTCACAGTGCCCCAGTGGTAGGGTGTCAGGGGTCCTGGGGTCTATCCTGCCATCTGGTCCTTGAACCTCAAAGACAGCTTCAGCCTCAACAGAGCTGGGGCAGAGATCCTGCTGCCTGGGGTGGGGTGGGGAAGCCCATTCCTTGGTGTCTAGAATCCTAGAATCCCGACAGAAATCTTCGTGCTGTTGGTGTGGGCCGTAGCCTGGAGGCCTCAAAGGACAAATCCAAACCCCCTTCAGTGAGACAGACCTTCAACATCAAATGTTGGGGAGCCGCTGTTTCATGCCCTGAGCCTTCTCAAGGAGAAGCCCGGTGCTGGGGGTCCGGTCATATCTCAAAAATACCTTGTCTACCGGAAGGCAACGTTGGTAGAGATTGGGACACCGGCCTCTCTGGACCTTCCTGCAAGTGCATTTGATCTAGTTTCTCAAGGACTTTTAAAAGGTTCATAGCCTTTGGCCAATAATTCCACTTGGGGAACTTATCCCAGGGCGATCCACAGAGAAGCACGGGAAGACATTCATTGCTGTGTTATTTATAATACAGAACAATATAATAAATGCCCAACAAGGGGACAGCACCAAAGTGAATTATGGTACACCGATATTACAGAATATTATGAGGTCACTGAAAATTGTATTTTCAAAGAATACTTAATGACTCGAGAATTGCTCAAGAGCTAATGTTTAGTGAAATAGTCAGAAGCAAGCTATGCACATAAAATGATCCCTATCTATTAAAAAAACACATAGTCTGTGAGAAAATACGTCAAGACATTAAGAGCGGTGATCTCCGGCTAGTTGGATTTTCACGGTTTCCGATTCTTCCACGATGAACATTTACAATTTGTATCCCAAAGATAGATGTTTTTTAAAAAATTTATTTATTTGACAGACACAGAGAGACAGCAATAGAGGGAATACAAGCAGGGGGAGTGGGAGAGGGAGAAGCAGGCTTCCCGCTGAGCAAGGAGCCCGATGCGGGACTCGATCCCAGGACCCTGGGATCATGACCTGAGCCGAAGGCAGATGCCTAACGACTGAGCCACCCAGGCGCCCCCAAAGATAGAAGTTATTAAAAATACACACATGCCCATTCTGCAGCTCTGACTGAAAGATATTCCTCTCTGGCTCTGGTCAAGGAGGTCCTAAAGAAGTGAGGGGCAGACTGGTGTCCACCAGATGTATAGGTTTCAGAGCTTTGCGGGGGGGAACATAAGTATGTTTGCTCACACAGCTTCTCTACTCCCTTGTTACCCCACGAATGGTTTGGGGGAAAACAAGCTCCCTGAAATGGAATAAAATTGTGTAATTGACTGCAAGCAGGTTTCTGAGTGTGCCAAGGCCAGGCCCTCCCTGGGAAAGGCGGCCCAGGAGAGCGGCGGCTGCCCTGGGCCTCCGTCGAGGCTCTATCTGAACCCAGTGAACTGACTGAGGACCAGAGAGTTTCAAAACAACCTGCACTGCAGCTTCAGCCTCTTAGAATTTCCCGCTGTGGCAAAGCTGAAGTTTGTACACAGAAGCAAAGCATTTCTTACCTGGGGAATCAGCTCAGGGCTGCAAGGACAGACTCTGAGCTGGAGGGAGGGTTGCCAGGCCGGAACTCACCTCAGCGGCCGAGTGACCTTGTACATGGCCCCTGGTCTCTCGGGGTTTCCCAGATTCCTACACTCTGGGCTATCACCTTTCCTGCTTCTTCGTGGCTGCCCTTTTAACCGTATGAAGCCAGGCTGGGCTGCAGCCAGAGCCCCTTGCCTCTCACTCACTCTCCTCCTAATTCGGTACGAGGTACCAGGACAGAATGTGCAGAGTCACATCAAGACAGTGATCAGAAAGATGCGGGATGGCCATACTCATGATGACAATGACGATGACAAAGATGGCAAGAACAGATCAGTGGACAAGTGCTCACAAGCCCCCAAGCCTCGTGCTGAGCAATTTATGTACGTTATTTTATTTAAATCTTGTTAACAACCCTACAAAGCTTCACAAAATGCTTCTAACCCTCCAGGACCAATCCATTTTAGGGATAAGAAGACTGAGCTCCTGGGCTGCCATGCTGAAGGTGAGGAGCTAGGAGGCTGGAGGCCCCTCTGCTCTGCCACTTCCTGTCTCCCACCGGAGGTGAGACACTTGCTAATGAGGGAGAAAAGTGGTCATCGATCACAAGTAGGACCTCAGAAGTTCTCGGGAGCTTCTCAGGACTGGCTGGCTGGCAACTCTGAACTTGCTCTCAGAGAACCCCGTTCCCTCACACAGTCTCTCCCTTCTCCCCGGTGATTCTCAAACTTGGCTACATTTTAGAATCACCTGGGAAGTTTAAAAAAATCCCAATGCCCTGGTTGCGCCCCTCTTGATTTAATCGCCATGACTGGGACCGGGGAGCCAGACAGACATCAGTATTTTTTCAAGATCCCCAAGTATTCCAATGGGCAACGAAGTTTGGGAGTTCTAATGGTGGCATTCCGAGCTTTGGTGGGGGGAGCCATTTTTGGCCACCCGGTCATCACGCTCGTGCTCTGCGCCGTCCCATGCCCCCCAGACCACCCCATTCGGCTGCTTGCAGTCTTCTCTGTTCTCTCTCCTCCAGATGGAAGATGATACTAACAGAGAGAGAGTCATCATAAAATGGGAAGCGTAGTCCTTCTCCTCAAGGCCCCTGTGTCACGGCCCTGGGCCTGAAGGAAGCCTGGTCCTCAACTCACAGCCCTTGACACTCCACAAAGCAGTTCCACGTACGTGTACTCAATGAGCATCACTCAGGGAAGGTGCGACTGGACAAAGAAGGACAGTCATTCCTGGTCACCACACCTGAAATGATAGCCAGGACGTCTGTGCAGGTTCGGGGCCCTGAGCGCCACGAGGGCCTTCTCAGCACAGGTAAAACTCCTAAACTCGGTGTGTCCCTCACCCAAAGTGCGGGAGCCCCCCCAGAGTATACCCGATTTGCCAGTGACAGTCCCCAACACACTTGCTCGTGCATAGACATTTATACACATGTGCACACACGACCCACGTGGCCATTTGTGTCCAGGCCTCTGACTCTGCTCCTTCCCTCCCTCCATCCCGATCAGAATGCACCGGTCTCATGTCCCATAGTTCGGGCCCTGATCTCTTCGGCCAGTTAATCCAATAAACAAAAGCCTTCTAAGGAGGACACTGGGGGATAACGGGTCAGTCTGTTCCTGCTTGAAGTTCATCTATGCGGGTACCGACAGGAGCCTTTAGAGAGCCTTCTGGCCCCCAGGTAACTCTCCTGGGTTTTCAGACTCTCAGGCAGTCTGGGAGGAGATCTATTTTGGATGGAGGGCTTTACTCATGCTACAGCTTGCAGGATTGCTCTGCGGGATTCCTGAAGTGGGTCCCCGATTTGTCCGTTTGCCTCTAGTGTCCGCCCTCTTCAATTCTTTCCCCGATTCATCTTCCGTACTGTCACCTAGAGTCCACCTCTGCTGCAGTAACTCCCCCACTCCATAAGATTCAATGGCTCCCTATTGCTTAGATTTGAAAAGCTGAACTCCTTATTCAGACATCAGAGCTGTTGTAGTCCAGCTTGGTCCTGCTTCGACAGAATCCCTCACCCCACTGCTGATGCCACATCATGGCTTTGCACACATCTCCGTGCCCCCGCCTCCAATGCTCCTGCTACCTAGATGACTTTTGTTCCTGGTTCATCCCTGCCACAAGGCTGTGAGCACCATGAGGTCAGTGACCTTGATAAAGGCATGGCTGGGACCTCATTCAGGGCCCAGCTCGTAGCAGGAGCTCAAGCTAGATGAATGACTGCCACCCAATTTCCCACCTCTGGGCCTTTGCTCATGCTGTTCCCTTAGCCTGGACTCCCCTTCCCATCCTTAACACCTAGAAAATATCATCCAAAGACTAGACAAATGCTCTCTCCCATCCCTGTGCTGGGAGATAATTCTGGATTCTCTCTTGTGACCCTGAGAAACTACATCTGGGGCTGAGCTTCAGGGGTAGATGCGGAGTCAAAGGGCAGAGTGTGGGAAAGGGGCTGTGAATGCTCTCAAGTTAGACATCCGGACGGAGACCAGCACATGGCGGGACCTCAGAAAGCCTCCTAACCCCATGACTTCCTGTTGTGATTTTCCCCTCATTCTTTCATCTTTGTGTTTTTCAAGATGAAAAGAGTTTGCTGACTTTTCCAGTTAAGATCCCTGGTGTATCTGTATGTGTGTATGTCTGCATGGGCAGAGGGAGTGGGAAAAGGCTCAGCGGGGGTGGGAGGGTTGGGGGGGTGGAGAGAAGGTGTTGTTTGGGGAACAGCTGTGAGGAATCCTGTTTCTTCGGGTATTTCAGCTCTGGGAGACACACTCACTTCTTCCAGGCTCCAGGAAGAACAGGTGATGGGCCACCTTTGTCCATGGTCCTAGGCAGTATCCTTTTGCAGACCCCATGAGAAGAGATAAGAAGCTCCCTGGGTCTGGGATAGGAAGATGTGGAGTGACAGTGAGGGTGTGTGTGTGTGTGTGTATTGGGGAGGGGGCTTCCTGGGACCTCAGAGTTCATGCCTGTCTCTGCAGTTTCCTGATTACTGGCCCCTTTTATAAAACCCTATGCTAAAATACATAAAGAAGATAAGAAAACTCCAAACTGACAAATCTGATGGGATGTCCTGGCCGGGGGGAGGGGGGGGGGGGTTGTGCCCTTGGCTGCTACTAATCTACTGGGGGAAACAGACAATTGGTGGGCTGTGCTTTGGTGGGGGAAATATGGGGAAAGGGGAGGTTATGGGAGCACAGAGGAGGGAAAGTACTGGAGACTCTGAAATTAGGAAGGCCTTCCCAGAGGAGGTGCCAAGGATCCAAAGGAATGATAATACACAGCCAGGGATAGCATGGGAGATGCTTAAGACACAGAAAGACCAGCGCCTGCAAAGCGAAGTAAGTGTAGAGAGACAAGGCCACAGAGGAAGGCCTAGACACAGGTGAGGAAGTTGCTGGTCTTGAGAAGGAGTCTGGACTCTACCCCATGGCAATGGGAGCCTTTGATGGTTTAATGCAGGAGAATGGGCTGCAGGGGGACCCAGGTGTGCCCAGCAATTCCTGCAGAGCAAGAACTATGTTATATATACTCAGGGAGCTGAGGGGCTGGGGGAAGGACCCCCAGCCCAGGAAGCATGTTTCCTGGTATCCCAGGCCTTAAGTGTGATGGGGGACAGGGTGTGGGGAGAGACCGCAGAGGGAAGGAGATTCTCCAGCATCCCAGGCCCCCCATCACTTCCCAGTGTCCCACAATAGAGAAGGGGTGTGTGGGCAGAAACCCCTAAATGTAACCTGTTGGGACCATGAAAGAATTGGCAAAAATACAAAAAAAATTACACATGACAAAAATATAAAACATACAAAAATACAACATACAAGACAGCATCTATGCAAATTGGGAAAGACTTAATTTTGTTTTACAATGAATAGAAAAGCAATTTCTAGTCCAGGCAGAAAATCGAAAGAAAAAGCGTGCTCACACACACTCTCAAGGTCAAGAGGAGCACCAAGCCCTCCCTCCCGCCCCCCACCACAGAGCCTGGCTCTCCCGGCAGGTGGGGAGCCCGGGGGACACATGGCCTGGGCCACTGTGGGGTCGGCCACAGGCTCTGCTATGTCTCCCCACTTCTTGGCCCCAAACAGGCCTCATCCTGCGTGCACCTTCCAGAGCCTGGTTGGTGCCTCTCCCCAGGGGCCCTGCCACAGAGAGGGCCCTAATGGAAACCCACCTCAAATGGGAGCAGCCTGGGGAGGGATGGAGGCCTGGATGGGCCTGAGGGGCAACCTAGTCAAGGTCAGGAGCAGCTCCCGGGCCAGCTTTCTGGCCCAGAGGCCTGAACACCTGATACACCAAGGGCCATCTCAACAGAGACCCCCACCGCCCTGGGCCTTCTTGTGTTTTCCAGGGATATTGCCAAGAATATAAAAATCACTTGCACTTGCTGCCTGGGCCACAGAAGGAGAGAGAAAGGGACCCCCTCTGGCCTGAGGCTCTTACTGAGACACCCCTGCGTATGTCTCCCGCAGCTTGAAAGGAAGCTCCTTCGGGGTTACTGTTTTTGTCCAGTCCCCCCAGGGTCCGGGGGATACCACTGAATCTCCATCCCAGTTAGAAGGCCAGTAGCCTGGGGGTCAGCGCACTTGGACTTATGTCACCCCTGCTGCTCACTGGCTGGTGGCCTGGGACAAGTTCCCGCCTCTCTGGGCCTCAGTCTCTCCTTCAGAACAGTGGGGACATTCTGGAGGGCCCCAGATAACAAACCCGTGGTACACCTGTCACCCCGGGGCTCCTGTCTCTACAGCAGGCTTTGCTAATGGCTCACTGCCTCCTGCCTGAGCCCCGCACTCCTCCTTCTTGGCGATCAGCAAGAGGACGTCTGAATGTCTGCCCAGGGCCACGTGACCCTCTAGAGCCCTGACAGCTGTTGGCCAAGCCCCAGAGATGCGGGGCAGCTCTCAGCACTCAGAGAGGATGCCTGAGGCCTCTGGTAAGTTAATCCCCACAAATGCCTTCACATCTGCCCCTTCCAGACCCACTGTGCCCACACCCCCCTACCCCCCCAGGTGCTCCAGCAGCCTTCCAATTGGTCTCCTGGGTGCTTGGCTCCTCCGGAACCCCAGTGTGAGGTCGGCATTCCATAATTATCACTCTCATTGTACAGCCCCTCCGGAACCTTCCATGGGTATAACCATTTGTAGGAATTTGGGCAGTTGGATATCCAAGTTCCTTTCCTGATTTGGGGGACTAATGGGATGCAGCTCCTCACCTTGCATCACAAGAGCTGAAGTGGGGCTCCTCCAACCCAGAGTTCTCTGGGGGCCAAGGAGGGACGCCTGACTGGACATGGCCAATACTTCCCACCCAAGATGGCCAACGACTGACTTAACTTCCTGCTCTGGGCCCTCAGGGCTGACTTAGTGCTTCTCTGTGTTCCAAGTCTGGCCCTTCACCGCCCCCAGCCCCTTGAATCCGTGAAGGCCCCCAATCCCTGTCTGCTTACGAGGACCAGGGTGACCTCTCTTGTTAGTAACCAGGAATCCTGACTGAGGCATCTGCCTTGTCCCTACCTCCTCAAGCTATCTGCTTGGCTTTTGGGGGCCCACATCCTGACCTACCTGCCCTCCCCTAACCTTACTCACCAGTTTGTCCAGCTCTATTGGGGTCATACTTCTCAGATCTGTCAAGAGTCAGGCCCTATGTTAAATGTTATGTCTCAGGTGCTAATAAAACACAGAAATCTCCTGAAATTCCAGAATTTTGATGACCACACCTTATCTCAGACTGCTTCTCACATCTGGAAGAAACACAGAACTTCTTTGCTGGATCATGGGTGTCCTGACCCTTGGTTGGGGAAAATACGGTCCCCAAATCAGAGGACTCCCCACTGGCCCATGACTGCCTCACTGCCCATCCCCACATTCCTCAGGACACCCATCCTTAGAAGAATCTGTTCTGGACCCTCTGTAAGCCCTACCATCCTTCAGGAGCCACCTTGACTCCTGTTCCTGCTGAGACATCTTGTTTGACTCCTCCACATCTTGTGACTGTCCCCTTCCATCAGCTTCACAAGCCTGTCCCCCCATGAACCACCACTGGTGATAATGTTGGCTGCCATTTCCTGAGGGCCTTCCAAGTGTCACACCTGAAATCAAGTGTTATTTCAATTAATTATCACAAGAACCTTATGAAGTACATATCATCATTGTGGCCATTTTACAGATGAGGAAACCAAAGCTCAGAGAGATTAATTAATACAGTGGCAAGGCCAGGACTCAAGCCTCAGTCTGTGTGACTTCTGAATTAGGACGTAAGTTACGCAAGGCCTGGTGCTTGGTCTTGGTCTCTTCTGTAACCTGAATGCCTGCAATTGTGCCCGACCAATGACAGGATCTCAGTAAATTTTCACTGAGTGCTATAAACTGTCTGAGTGAGAATAATGTTACAAACTCTGGGCCAAATCAGATCCCCTGTATAGTTGCATGGGTTGTGCACTGCACAACTCAAAGGAGGTACCGTTCACAACGTGTATAGTCTTCTGTGGTTCTCTAACCTCGATGCTGCCCTGCTTCTCAATTTAGCATTACCTTGTACTGTTTGCTTTCTTTCATGGATGTTGGTTGTCTTCCCCAAGAGATTATCAGCACCCTCATTGTTTTTTTTTTTTTTTTAATATAGGCTCCACACTCAGCATGGAGCCTAACACAGGGCTTGAACTCACGACCCCGAGATCAAGACCTGAGATGAAGTGTTGGATGCTCAACCAACTGAGCCAGCCAGGCACGCCATCAGCACCTTCATCTTAGATGAGACAATCATGGAGGGTTCTCAGCAGAGTATGGGACCCAGGGAAACCTACGAAGTATAAAACATGCTTCTTATGCCCTCTGGCCCTAAACACAATGTCAGTCTATATTCAGGATCAAATAATCCCCCAACCACATGCTGCTAGTTGCCCAGATGCTGCTTTTGTCAGCAGAGGGAGGGGATCGTAGGGCACTGTTCACACTCCCCAGAGCTGGGCCACTCCTCTGCTTCGTCTCTTTGGAATTTTCCCCCGAGAGAGCCCACCATCCATCAAGAGCATGCAGACTCTGCAGGGACCCAATGCCTGACATCTTCATGGCGAAGTCTCAGCCCCAGGCTGCCACTGCCCACATGGAAGCTGCGGAACCCGAAGGCAGGGCGGGGGACCTGTGGCTCATCCCCTGGCCTCGGTCCATCAGGGATATCTAAGAGGCCATCAGGGATATCTAAGAGGCTGCGCCACCTCAGAGGCAATGACCCTGGGACATCAATGGCCTTGAAAGCCCCCTTTAAATGGAAGGTGAGCAACTCACTTCTTAGATGCCCCCCCACACCCCATCTCAAGCCTTCTCTCACTGTATCTGCTGAAGCCGGGTGGTCCTCGGCGGCTGGGTGGTGGGTGAAGGGACGTACCGCATGCCCTCCGGGCTCCTGGAGCCAGTATCTGGCTCTGGCTCTGCGCACACCAATGAGTGAGCAAGTCCCTTCCTCCCGGGACTTCAGTTTCCTTCAGGAGACAATAAACGTAAGCCCCTCCGCACAGCCCTGGCACCAAATACACACTCAATAAACCTCACTTATCATTATTATCTACAAAATAGGGGTCTGTGTCCCCACCCTGCCCCTGTGTTCTGCACCCAGGACCACCGCCCCCCCCCCCCCACTCTGCTCAGTGCCTCTGGGCTGCCTCTCTTCCGTCCATCGGTGCGCTGTCCACAGGTGGGGCAGGCGCCTAACCCAAGCTGCAAACCCAGCCCAGCACAGCCCCTGCACACGTGCTCAGAAGTGTCTGTGGGACGGAGCTGAGACATCGGGGCCCTTCCAGCTCTGACTGACTGTGGTTATAAATTGAACCTCCACCCATTTGCTCATCCAACACAGACAGGGACCCTCCCTGGGCTTGGCACTGGCTGCCTAGAAAGGAAATCCACCCCCCCCCCCGCCCCGCCACAACCCTTTGAATGTGAGCTCCATGACATTCTGTTTTGGTCACGGCTACCTGGCACAGTGCTGAGAATAGGATAGACTCTCAATAAGTTTTTATTGAATGGATGTATGAGTGCGAAGCAGGTGACCTTTTGCAAAAGATCCATACCCTCCCTTATCCGCGCATAGGGCCCGGGCAGGGACTGGCTCTTACCGAGGAGGAGCAGAGCTGGGCTGCCAGAGGGGGTGGGGCGGGGAGCACATCCTCTGATAGGCCTGCTACCGGGCCTCCAGCCAGATCCATTATCTTTCCCGTGACCTGGGGCTACTCTAATTCTCAAACAATAAATGGGACATGAGGCCTGGTCTATGTTGAACAGCAACAGATGTAGCCGTGAAGGCTGGGGGTTGGGAGTGCAGTGCTTGCGCGTCTGGGGACCCCCATAGGACACAGTGTGGGCAGCTCCTCTGAGCTCGGTCCTGGCTGCCCACCTGCTAATCCCTGGGACCCCATCCGTTGGTTGTCCCCTGGCCCCCAAGGCCACCTTCTGGGGGCTCTGGGTGAGAGAAGGAAGAGAGGGCTCCCATCAGCACAGAAATTGGGGCTTTCTCGTCCGCCAGAGCCCACACCCTGTACCGTGGAGCCCGAGGCCATGGCTGGCTCAGCCTGGGTGGGAAGGGGGCTCTAACCTACCCAGGGTTGCAGGATGAGCTAGCAGCCAGCAGCATGCGTGCTAAGTAGCTCTCCTGGGGATGTCACGTACACAGTAAGCCTCAGTCAGAAAGGGACAGCGGCACCTGGGGTACAAGGGGGCATTTATCCTTGCTATTCAAGTGGTCCCCTTAACCTCTGTCTCCCTAATCCTGACAGCTGAAGAAAAAGACCTTCAGCTAGATTGGTCCTAGGAAGTCGAAAGCCAAGGCAGGCCAGGAAGAGAACGTACTGCTTGAGTTCAGGGGTCCTCCCTTGGAGTGTCTGTGCAGCTCACAGTGACTCCCTAATTATGGCCCTTATCCATAGATGGGGAGGCTTGCAGCCACGTTAGCCACTCCCCAGACAGACAGACAGACAGACACACACAGCTGATTGGATCAGAATGAACATTAATTAAGGCTGAGCCAATCAGATTTGGATTCACACCCCCTCCTTCATATACAGCTGATTGGACCAGGATGAACATCTAATTCAAATTGAGCCAATCAGAGTACCTGACCACTGCACTGAAAGTTGTTACTACCACTTCACCCTCCCCCATTCCTGTCCCTTTCTCTAATTCTTTTCCTAGCATTACCTTCTATTATACTCAACAACCTACTCTATTGTCTGTCTCCTGCACTGGAACATGGGCCCCAGGAAGGCCAGGATTTTTATCTGTTTTGTTTCCTGTTGGGTCCCTAGTTCTTCCAACAGTACCCGGCACATAGTAGGTGCTCAGCAAAAATTGGTTGACTGAATGAATTCTCTCTTCCAGGAGATGTAGTCATAACTCACATTTAATGAGCACCTACTGAGTTTGTGTTTTCTAAGTACTTTAAGTATGTGTTAACTTGTTATTTCCCTTTTATAAATGACTTGTCTAAGGTGACATGGGAGGCAGGATTCAAAGCTGTCTTGCAGGAGCTGGATGGATCTAAGTGTATTATTCTATTAGTGATATTGGTTTTATGGTTTGCAAACACATTTATAAACATGGTACCTGAGTTCTCCCCTCTCCCCTGGGGGAGGTACTAGTTTCCTAATTTTAGAGATGAGAGAACGGAGGCCTAGAAAGTTTCATTGACTTGTTCAAGGTCACAAAGCAAAAAAGTAGCAGAGCTGAAAGCAGGACCTCGGACTTCACACCTTCCCCCGAGCCCCACCTCTTTTCAGACACCAAGGCATCTCTCCTGTGTCTAGAAAGTGCTATTCCTGCCCTCAGAAATGTACTCTTTCCCTGGGAAAATCAGCTCGAGGAAGGGACAGATTTGCAGGCCCAAGCAGAGGCTGGATGGGCTGAAGAAGGAGAATTAACACAAGCTTGTTTTGCCCCAGGTACTGTGAAAGCCTCATAAAGGAATGACAGCAAAGCAGAAGGCAGACATTGGAAGGGGAATCCAGAGCACACGGAAGGTGGGGGGTACAAACAGTCCAGTTCCTGCTGGATCAGAAGTATTTCTGCCATCATGGCTGCCTTCTTCAGATTACCTTCTGCTCTATTTCCCAATTAAAGTATGGCTCATAGAGCGGAGAACAATACTGTACTTCCAGCCTGTGGTCTGACCAGCACAAAAGGAAGGGGGAAGCTTTCTTAACTCTAAAATCTTGCCGGTTTATAAAAAGATCACTGACCCTTAAGTTGACTCATACCTGAAACTCCACCATTAGGGATTCATTCCTTTGGTACTACACCTTGCTGCTTTTAACATATAAATACTACTGAGGAGTGCATAGTGGTGGGAGATGTTGTTGGTCACTGACAACTCATCTGAGTGCACTTTGGGAACTTTCCTTGAGGCAGATCTGAGGGGAAAGAACTAAGCATACTGGTTGGAAGTGTGGAGAAGGGGAGATGAGAATGAATGAAGTGGCCGGGGTCAGTGCAAACTCTTAACCTCAGACTTTGGCTGATGAGGTCATTGACCATCCCCGAGTTTAGTGATCTTCACGCTGTGTCCCACAGAAGAGCTCCTACCGATGAGCCTCTCTGGTGGCCAGAGTCCCTGCCCCTCCACCCACCATCAGTATGAAACCCAGAGAAGGGAGGGCACTTGCTCAAGTCACCCTGTGAGTCCGTGAACAACGGCTATGCCCAGGGCCACACCCAGGTCTGCAGACACTCAGGTTCAGTGCCCAGTACCCCCCTTCCCCCCACCCTGGCTGTCAGTTCTGGAGGCTCTGCTTGTGGGAAGGGGGCAGTAAGGGGTCACCTGAGGATGGTTCACGGGGTTCATTCCCAGCTTACAGACACTGGTGGGGCATTCTGCCTACCTCTCCTGCCTTCTGGCACATATGTGCAGGGGATACCCCCCACTTCGTCTCTGGAAGCTCCAGCAGGGAGCTCTCAGATCGCAGAGGGTTGCTTCCCATCTGGAAAGCCTTGCAGGGCCGAGGACAGTGTAGTGGCCAAGCAGGGAAGCTGTGCTACTGCGATTCCACCAGCAGAGGGCGGTGGCTGCACTGCTCTCAGCCGCACCCAGAACTCTGTAGAGTGTGGGAGGAAATTCCACAGACCAGCTCTGCCTAAGGCTGGGGTTCCTGACTCGCATTCCAGCTGACTCGAATGCTCCCAGTCAACTGTAGCTCACTATTGTGCTCAATTCGCTAGAAAATACTTCTTTATATTGAGATGAAAATTCACCTCCTTGTATGTCTTGCCGTAAGTGCCTAGCTCACACAAAGTCAACCACTTTTTTATTTGCCAGCTCTTGGGAGTTGGAGTCTCTGTCCGAGTTGGCCATCCACAGTGCTGTGTGACTTTGGGCAAGACACTTTCCTTCTCTGGGTCTTTATTCCTTACCTATAAGACAAGGGAATGGACCCTGATAAATCCCAAGGCTCCTTCCAGTTCTGACCTTCCCAATAACGTCCCTTTCATGGTTACTGCGGAAGGGCAGGAGAGGGGACACCGCACCCTCAACTTCTTGGCTTGGGTTTCCAGCATTCACAATGGCTCCCGGGTACTCCTTCACCACCCTCCACACCACAGCCTGTTCTTAGTCCCTTTCCTTTGGAGTTTGGGTTCTCCTAGCTGCTCCTCACCCACCTCTACTTGAGCTCATCGTCAATCAGGCGACCCCGACACCTTCCACTAAGTGCATCTGACTCAAGCCACGGGTCACTGAGCTCACATTCCACCTGTGGTCCCAGAATGCCTGGCCACTCGGTGGGGAGCAGGGAAGACGGGTTCATGGGTGGCAGGTCCTCACCTCAGAACCTGGTTTGTTGCCTTGATCGATCTTAGTCCCTTTACACCTCTCCCCAGGCCACTGTTCTTTCTGGACCAGCATTCTTTCTGGTTCTAGTGGTGCCTTTCCTTCTCACTTCCAAAGCTGAGTCACTGCACCATTTGCAGCTTCTCTTGAGAGTCAGATGATTATACATACTCAAAGAAGACAACTTGAAGACTTCCAAAAAGTATACACAACACACACACACACACACACACACACACACACACACACCCCAACTCCAAATTGCCAAGTGGTTCTGTTTTCCCCGGAGATAATCTTACTATTTTTCGTGTAAGTCTTCCCCAAGGTATACTCAGTGACTAAGTGGAGTAGGGTCCTTTCATCCCTCCCTATTTGCTATCCCTGTGGATCCCCCATCACACATTCCTGGGCTTCTGAAAAAGTCAGGCATAGTCAGAATTCTGTGAGTGAGCATCATCCGCCTGCCCTGTCCCCATTCCCCCTCAGAACACTACCTATCACTGTAAAGCACTTTAACTCTGGGATGTGTGTGAGGCAGCCTCCAAGGTGGCCCCCTGCAATCTCCACCTCCTGGCAGACACACCTCATGTAGTCCCCTCCCAAGTTTTACCAGGGTTTTGCTCTGTGATGCTAATGGGATGTGGTAAGAGCTGTAAAAGCTTGTGGTCTCTGCCTGGGGCCCTTCCTCTCTTGGATCGCCACTCAGGGGAAGCCAGCTGCCATGAGTGAGGACATTTAGCCTATGGAGGGACCCGGGTGGCAAGGAATTAGGGCCTCCAGCCAACAGCTATGTGAGTGAGCTTGGAAATCTATGTGCCCCAGTTGAGCCTTCAGATGACTGCAGCCCAGCTGAAAGCCTCTGAGCAACCTCCTGAGAGATCCTGAGCCAGATCTCCCCAGCTAAGTTTTGGGGTAATTTCTTAAGCAACAGTAGAAAACGAATACAAAAACTAATGATTCTAAACGTTTTTACTTTACCTTCTTGGTCCCTATCCAGTTCCCTATAATGGTTATCTGTAATAAACACAACCTTTTTATTAGCAGGAAAACTGTCAGGGATTTCTTTATTGAGCCCTCCAACCACCTTGGAACGATCTCTCCAGTGAGTTCATATTTGTTTCTGGCCCAGGGGCATCAAATCACAGCTAGCTCAGAGATAACCTTGCTCTTTGTTCTCAAAG